TGATATTATTGTCTTTGATTGACATAACCTTTACACATTTAAAGAAAAAACTTTTTAACCGGATTAAAGTTATGTATTATTATAAATTTACAATTATTTAACATAATTTTAAATTTATCCGACGTTTCGCGTGCTTTACAGCGTGCGTGGTCACGGTGACTGAAGACAAAAGGTGTTGGATGTCAAAAAGTATCACAGCTGTAGAGAAAGTTGCATTATCTGTATTTATTTCTCCGGAGTTGGTATCGACTTAAAGATGGAGGGTTTTGGCAAAAATGGCTCACGGTGTCCTCTATTTTCGCGGATTGTTTTTCTTGAGATTTTAATTTGGTTAAATAATTGTAAATTTATAATAATACATAACTTTAATCCGGTTAAAAAGTTTTTTCTATAAAGATGATTCTAGTTGCCCCTTCCAAAAAAACAGGTAAACTACCTTTTGGAAGGGGCAACTAGAATCGTGTGGAGAATAATGGGCAAGAAACACACTAAGGTACTCTTTTAAAATAGGTTTTACAATATTTTGTATATATTATTTAAATGATTATATGTGTATATATACTCCTATAATAAAATAGACACAAAGTATTACTTACAAATTAAGCAATGCAGCGGATACGTCAATTATTGTATCGTTAGTATACATGCTCGTCACATTTTTACAAATAATGAAACCGTGAAGTGAGCCTCCAGCTCGTTTGCTTGACACACGAAAGAAACACTAGCTTAACACAAGATATTGAATGTTTTGGGCGTTTAAGTTTATGAACTATCTAAGCCTAAAATAATACTGAAAGTAGTGAAGTGTTATGGCGATCAATCATAACATTATCTAGATGGTCATGACCGGTTTCATGATAGAAAATACATTGTGCTTTTTTCTCATGGCCTCGTCTAAAAAACAAATTTCCTGTGTCTTTTAAAACTTAGTTTAAAACATTTTAACTAGATTAAACGGTAAAATCATAAGTATTTATAAATAAACTAGATGCCCCCGCGTACTTCGTTTCTCCTTAATGTGATTTTACTTAGCCTACCTTTTTAGTACATACCAACATGGAACATTTTGCTATGCTACCCCAGAGACTGTTCGGTTTTCTGGAATGAAAACTTTTTAGGTTTTTCTGTGAAATATTTCTATATATAAACCTCAGAGTTCAAGTCATAAGATTTTAATTAACAAATAAAAATAGGTGTTGATCGTAGAGGGTAAATGAAAATTAAGGGTTGTATGTATTTTTGTATGCTGTAGCATAAAAAAATACCAATGCATTTATCAATGTTTGGTCACGAATTGTTAAGTTTACGTAAAATATATTGAATATGTTTCTAAATATAATTACTCGGGGTATTTTATTATGACCTGTGACGTGCGCCGACTTGTCAAAGTTGTATTATGTCTCTGTCTTCCAAAATACAATTATGTCCCTATAAATCGATAACCAGATAATTCTAGCTGATGACTGACAAGGAGGTGAATATAATTAGTATAAGGTGATATAAGGGTTGGTGCCGGGCGTTGTACCGTTGACATATTATCCTGATGAATAGATTTTCGAACTGAAAGGTTGTTCACCGCAGTCTGGGACGATGGAATTACAAAAATTTCTAAATCATACTTTATTCATGTGAATAGAAAGCCTTTGAAATTTTTATTGAGATTTATAAATCTGAAATTAAGTTTGATGTGGATTAAAGATTTTATAAGAAAATTTTATCTTTCTAAATTTTTAAGGTACAGGTTTATTTCAATAGACAGGTTTTCCACCAAGAACCATTCATGGTTTTTGTAGAGGGCCTTAAAAAACATTAAACTAATAATATAATTTTATAAATTAACTAGCTGACCCGGCAAACGTTGTTTTGCCCTGTATATTATTTCTAGGAAACATTTTTTAGTTCAATAAAAATAACTATCTACTATAATAAAAAATAGAGGTTGGTCTTAGAGGAGTGAAAATTAGGGGTTGTATGTATTTTTGTATGCTGTATCATAAAAAAATAAAAACATTTATTACTTAGGGGTTTGAAAGATAGATAGTAGCCGATTCTCAAAGTATGGGAACGAATATTGTGACACGAGAATTTTATATATTACACGAGAATTTTATATCGTTACAATATTATTGATAGATTAATAATAATATATCCGGGTGCCTCACCTACAAAATACCAACTTTAAATTGACAATATGCAAACTTTTAAAATATATAAAATATATAACAATAATTACGTTAAAATTTAACGTGAAAAACATTATTTTTAAATAGATAGATAACAAGTACTTTTGAAAGCAAAAAGTTGAAATAGAGGTCGACCTTGTGACCTTGTTTTCCTTTAACGTTTAACCGTAACAACGGAAAAGTGGCACTTTATTCAGTATTTTTATATCTGGAACGTGAGGAAGTTAGATTTATATACATTTTTATATTAATTATCTAAATACGTAAAAGTGAATTGCTGTTCGTTTATCTCGCTATAACTCGAGAATGGCAGGACCGATTTGGCTAATTATAGGAAAGGTTTGTTTTATTTTAAAGTATAAAGAAAAATACTCAAAAACGACAATTGAATTTTCCAATAAAAACTTTTCCTAGATGGGAAATATTTGATGTCTTTTTAGAAATAAACTATTATTTGGTTGTCATATATATATAGCTAGTCCTATCCCTTATGTTTTAAAAAATTTGGTGTAAGTTTTGACACAAATATACGAAGGTTAACACAAAGTTCACCGGGTCATCTAGTTAAAAAAAAAAAACATAAAAATGAGGTCTTTTTCTTTGTAGGTAAATTTATCTCCGATTTTCTATTAATTAAATAGCTCGTGATAGCATTGCTTGTAAAAAAATAATTAAAGGCGCATTAAATATATTATATTCAAAACTTTGCACTTCGGGTGCTTGCACGTGGTCAGAGAGGCATATGATGAATGGAAAAATATATGGTGGGGTTGAGTAGTTTATGTTTCCATTTTGAAAGATCGATACACGATTTAAATAACTTCGCTCGATAGAAAAAAATCCAAACAAAGCGAATTTTTGACACCTTGAATTCATTTTATGACGAAAATGTATATATAGAACATGATTTTGAACTTTACACGATATATTTCAAGTAATCCATTTCAGAAAACAAATTGATAAAATTACATTAATTTAATGTTTTACATTAAATTAATTGCATTGTCAACTAATTGTTATTACGGGACGGCGCGCCTCAGTGCTCTCCACTGCGCTCCGCAGTCCACCCCGAGACACTGTCACAGCAATTCGTTCTGGGATACCTAGGGCCTTAATGCGGGGGATGCGTCAACGTAGTTCCATCTTGGTAAAAAAATATGTGGGGAATGGAATTTTTTTCATGCATCAATTGTCAACGAGTTTCTAACATCTGCGCTCTGCGTTGCTGAATCACTGAATAAGCAAAATTATTTATTATAACTTATATTTTTACATATACAACACGTTTTGTATCTATTTACCTTCAAACCCGTTATATACCTTCAAACCCGAAAATAGGTCGCTTTATGTGTATGTCAAAATATTTTTGACAATCCTACTATTTATACCAACTCATATTGACAAAGCGATAATTTAAGTGGTGCCTCGTTGGACTATTGAAATTGCCTTTGATACAAACGAAACACCTTCAGTACTTTACGTCTTCCAATTGACTAGCGGTAGATTAATTTTTTATATTTGAGGTGGTAATATAGGCATGCCGCCGTACTCCCAGAGGGTAGCCTACCTAAACTCAAATGAGCCTCAACCATATTCGTCTCTTCTTTTTGTATTGCAATTCGGTAATTGTAGGGAACTTAATATTTATTTTGTAGTCATTGTACTTCCATACAATCATATATTAAGTTCAGCTAATCTGTAACACAACATTCATTGACTGTTAAGTTACGAGGTTCCGGGTCCGCTAATAATGTTATATATAAAGGAATTAATGGCAATTGGGGATATATTTGTTCTCTATTAGATATCTTATCTAATAATAAATTAGATATCTTCTCATTTCATTATTTTGCGAAAGTCTTTTTTAGTAGTATCATCGACACAAACAATGTAAAGAAAAGCCGATTCTGTTCATACATGGAGGGTATCAAAAAAAAGTCGTATATTTTAGTCGTAGTTTTATTTGTATTTTGAATTGAAATCTTGAAATTCTTAATCCAAAATCTCTGAGTTATTGAATTGAAGTGATCGTTAAAGTTTACCTTTGCTCTGTAAATATAAAACCGTCTACCGTTAAATGTGTTAAAACCTGCACATTTCGTAGTTTGAAACGGCTTGTTTAACAATGGATTTGTTTGAAATTCGCATCTGCCACAGAGGATTTTAAATAAATTTCCACTGCAAATGAAAATAGTTTTGTTAACGCTCACGGACCGTATGTAATGTAATTTAGATTGCCTTATTTTATATATTCTTATAGAAGCGTTACTAAAGCTACTGATGCCCTAAACTATGCTCTCAAGCTTAAATGAAGATGGGCATGTAGCAAGACTGTCAGACGATGGACCATAAGGGCGACCCGGTGGGGAGGTTCTATTAGGAAACCATACAGAGGATTAGTTTTACTTTGATTTTACAAGAAATAAAAGGCTTTTTATTTTATTTTATTGTCATAGTCGGTTAGTGTTTCTGATCAATGAAACAAATGCTGTGCATCTAATGAAAATTATGTGAATTACACACCTCTAAGTTCTCTCTAAGTGCGCTGAAATAAAAATATTTATATGCAATAGTAAAAACATGTAGAGTTTTTGATGTAAATGTTTATAAACTGTGTAAGTGTAGGCGTCATCATTGTTAAGCTATTATGGTTAATAGTGATGAATTCTGTTGAGGTCACGTGATACATTGTTATAATTTCACGTGTCGATTTAGGTTACGTGGTAATTTAAATTTTAGATTATGTACCTCATGGCTAATGACATATCACGTTTTCATACAGCTGATTGTGTTTCTGTATCTAATAGAGTTATAATAATGAATTCAGTTCCGGCAGGTTTGTCAAATGCCGGCTTATATATTTAGTTTTACAGTGTATTTTTCCACAGTGTGATTACACAGAGAACTTAGCGACCCTGATAAAGATACGTTAATACAATATAAAAAACAAAATTCTCTTCTTGAATGATTTTGACACCACGGTGTTATAATGAAAGACCAATATTTTCATAATAATAGCATGGTTTATATTAGTGAAAACATTCTAGCGACTTATTCTAAACATTCTATTGAATAGATTTGCAATTCAACCTTCTACCTGGCTATTGTAAAGCACAATGCACTACATGTTGCTCTGAGATCGTTTACAATAGCTTCGGTGACCATATCGCACGAAACTGTACATTCAGATTTTATGCAGTCATTGAACCTGTTTTGAACAATAGAAACAGGTCAATAGTTCCTCTTCCGGTAATCATTAGTTAATTTAAAATATCTAAGAGTTTTTCATATGTCTAATATATATTTTGTTTGTTTCAGGAATCGCCACAAAGACAAGAAATCGCCGGTCCCTTGAATCAGCTATCCCCAAGACTGAAACCTCTATACTGTCATCCAAAAGATCATCTAAAAGTACTTTTAATTTAACTTTTGGTGTTAAGTCAGTAACGAACACATTGCCAAATACCACTGCCCCCGTTAAAAGCCCCGAAAGAAGACGTAGTTCTGAATCTGGTACGAAGCCGAGCTTCATACCCGTGTCTAAAAGAACTCCAGATAAAAGCAATCGAGCATCTACTTCACCTATTAAGCAAAGTCACACGAAGGAACCATTAACGAAAATCGATATTGGCCAGACAAAACCGAGAAACGAACGACTGAGAAATAGATCGACCCGTAAAAGTCCTGAAAAAACCAAGAGTGATTCTGAAGCATGTCGTAAGGAAAAACTACATCGAGCTCAAAAGAATTATGATAGTTGTAACGAAAAAACACATAATTCGAAAAAAAGACTGACTAGTTTAGATAAATCTTCGAGTGAGACGAGTGATGCTAAAAGTACGTCTCATAAAGTTATCTTAAACAATAATTCGCCTACGAACCGTAAAGTAAGTAGTTGTAAAAAAGTTTTAGACAAATCTACAGAAGCTGGAACTATGTCAACACTCCATGAAACTTTAAGGCCACATACACGTTCTAGGTTATCCCAAGATATGGATAGAGTAGCCGCAATCACGAAACAAACATTAGATAGGGTTAACAAATTGTCGAATAATTTAAACAGCAACAAATCAAACGCAGATTCACACGATTTACAAAACTCTCATCGCCCATTTATCTCAGAAGAACAACGAAGTAATAATAATAATCATACCTATAATTTTGGTCTTCTTCAAGATAGGTCATTCCCAAATAGAGATGTAACCGAAAGATTACAAGATATAGATGCAGCAGCTCAGAGACTAATCGACTTTGAAAAGCAAAGAGCAATACTTTCTGATCTCAATAACGATTCATCTAGTCAAAATCGCCGTCTAGATAATTCATCAATATCTCATCATACACCTGTATCTATATTAAAGAGGAAGTCTATTCACGAAGATACAACTACTACAAGTACCCCTAATAATTCTGTTGCTTCGCCGCCTGTCACTTTCTCACCTAACGTCGTAGAGCCACGTAGTTGTCGATCTGAAAGTAGACAACGACAAGGAATTCTTAAAAAACGTCGAAGTTTAGATGAGTCCCAAGTCGCAAGACGTAGATCTTGTAGCCCAGAGGTATCGTTTGCCGATGACGGCTCATCAGATACATGTAAGCCAATATTGAAAAATAGACGATCCTCTCTGGAAGATGTCGTCCGAACTCGTTCCCCAGACGGACAAATTCATGGTATTTTAAAGCGAAAAATGAGCAGAGAAGACGACAACATAATTGATGACGTTTCTCAGAGTTCTCCAGAGCCACATGGAATTTTAAAACGAAAATCCAATTCAAGTTCCAGTAGTAGTACTACTTCATCTCACGTGTCGATCGCTCAAGCCGTGCTGCTGGCAGCTGCGGGTGGCGCAGAGATTATAGAACGTGAGGATGACAAGGAGACTGTGAGGCCGATTCTTAAGAAAAAGAGTTTTTCCGAAGAGAGACCTTGCCTTGATATTATGCCATTAGATACACCGAAACCGATATTAAAAAAGAAATCCATAGAACACGACGATCACGACTTTGAGCGTCCAAAGAAGCCAATTTTGAAGTCATATAAACGGCTTTCTGGTGATGAAGGGCACGCTTCTAGTTTCGATTTGAGCGAAGACGACAGAAGCTCCCGCAGGTCCTCGTTGCTTAGATCACGAACATCGGATCAATCAGGTTCAGAATGTGAAGCGACAGTTAAGCCAATATTAAAGCAGAGAGGTTCAAGTCTCACTAGGGAACGCAGCCAATCCCCGCGCCCACGGCTGTCGTTTTGCGCTGACACAGATGCTAGCACTAGTGCGACTAATTTCAGTTGCGAACCGAACGACTCACTAGCGGCTGGACCGCGGCGAGTCTTGAATCATTCGTCATCCCCAGATGAAAGTTATCCTAGTGCGGTTATACGCCGGCGAAATTTACGACCCAAAGCGAATCCGCGATCAATGAGTCTCGTATGTGACGTCAACGAAGAGTTATTGTCTATTCTTAACAATCGCAGACGCCAAGTTGATACGAACTTAGAAAACGGTCCCGACTGGGATCGAAACGAAACTTCAAACGAAAATAGACCGAAACAGTTCCCATCGATTGCATCGAGAATTAAAGATATGGAGCAGGCTCTCACAAAAGATAATTTTCTTAGAGATCCTACGAAGCCGAAGAGTAGGGACAGCGATCGTTACAAGACACAACCTGTCACTATTGACGAGCTGCGATCAATAACATCCAAGTAAGTCTTTTTAAATACCAGCCAGAATATAATATTAGTACTATAAGACGAAATTAATTAATAATTTCACACATGTGAACCATTTTTATATTAGATGTTATCGAAACCTATTTAAATGTAGCGATCATTGAGTATGGTGTAACACAAGCGTTTTTATAAAATTCAAATCTTATTTAAATTGTGTAGATAAAAAAGGGAATTAGGTTCTAGCGTTAATACAGGACAGTATTCAAATAAGTATCAGTTTATAGTGTATATTTTTGTTGGTACAATGTAATTTGTGCAAAGGTGATTGTTCCTTGCCGGGTGTTATTGTGTAGTAAATTTTGGCAGATCGCCATTATTTTGATGAGTGAACACGAGGCGTGGGCCGGTCTTAAATGCTATAGCAAGTTCTAATGTTATGAGTCGTTTACTCTTTTGTTTTGCATGCCCTCTTTATACATCCCGAATGTACATTTCCTGCTTGTTTGAGGTTCCCATGACATGAAATTGTCGTATTTAGGAGAGTGTTAAAAATAAAGAGCAGTGTTGGTCTAGTGGTTTCAGCGTGCGACTCTCATCCCTGAGGTCGTAGGTTCGATCCCTGGCTGTGCACCAATGAACTTTCTTACTATGTGCGCATTTAACATTCGCTTGAACGGTGAAGAAAAACATCGTGAGGAAACCGACATGTCTTAGACCCAAAAAGTCGACGGGATGTGTCTGATTAGGTACCTACTTGCCTATTAAATTTAAAAATGATCATTAAACAGATTCATAAATCTTAGGCCAAGATCTAAAGAGGTTGTAGCGCCACTGATTTATTTATTTTATTTTATTAAATGCGTTTAATTAATACTATGCGCATTTGTTTATTGTAACCGGTGCTTATGATAATGTTGCTTTGAGACAAATACAATATTAAAAGCGAAGTAAATAATATTAAATTAAATGAGTCAGATCATGACACCGTGACTGTGCTAGGACTGTGTTAGACAAAACAGAGATAATTATATGGTAAAGTTTTAGACTATTCAAACCACATTGTCTCATACTATGATCGTTTAAGTAAAAAAAAAATCTGTGGCGCTACAACCTTTTTAGGTCTGGGCCTCAGATTTCTGTATCTGTTTAAAAATAAATAAATCAGTGGCGCTACAACCTCTTTAAGTCTTGGCCTCAGATTTCTGAATCTGTTTAATGATCATTTTTCAATCTCAAGCCGGTTTCCTCATGATGGTTTCCTCATGATGTTTTCCTTCACCGATCGAGCGAATGTTAAATGCGCACATAGAAAGAAAGTCCATTGGTGCACAGCCGGGGATCGAACCTACGACCTCAGGTATGAGAGTCGCACGCTGAAGCTACTAGCCCAACGCTGCTCATTTAACGATAAAATCACTAAAACCTTAATTAAATTCCTGTAAAACTGTTGAGCAGACGTAGAATTGCAACGTATATCTAAACACAGCTGTTTTGTAAGCATTAGTCAATGTAGCTTAATAAAAATATGCTGTTATATATAGGTATATGTGCCACAGTATATACAGTCCCATTTAGCTACATAGAAAATGTTTTATATTAAAGTAAATAAAATACACTTGATCTCGTAATACTTTCTACGAAACCATTCTGAAAAATACTGGTTAGAAAAATTAATGTGTTCGATGCTAATTTTGTGTACTTGAACGTCTGACATCACCATGGTGCGGTTTGCCGTTTGATTCATTCAGTCTCGAAGAAGTAAGAATTAAAATTGGTTTTGTGCATTTCCTTTCAATTTAAAAATGGAACGTTTTATTCTGGAGTGGCCATGCTTTGAATTGTAAGTTGTGAAAATTTTTCTTAAAAAAACATCTGATTTACGGTACAGACGCTCTTTAGGTAGGTAGTAGTAGTAGGTCCTAGATAGGGTAAAGGGCTATAGCGAAACATGCCTTAAAAAATTCGATTAATACATAAAAGACGGTTGTGCCTAAAGCTCAAAAGCCACAACTTGAACATTACCTTGTGTTTTTATAATAAATAAAGTATTTTTAATATGACATGGAATTTAATTAGTGATTAAAAAGTTATCCTTTGAATATTTTATTCATATACATAAAAAAACACAATCCTTTCTTAACAGGTGACCATAAATCAACAAGAATGCATAACCAATAAAAAAATACACACACGAAACAAAAAACAATCATAAGAAATGAATTAGGAAAAACAATTTAAGAATTACATATTAAAATAAATAACTAACTACTATAGGCACTAACATTTTGTTAGAATTTACATATACCCTGTAATTTGACAGTTGACATCCAGATTTTGTTAATTAAGATTGTAAGGATACATGTCGCATGTTTTGACGTAAACTTTACACTTTCAATAAAATAATATCACTCCTAATTGCCTCGCATTATATATTAATTAAATCCAACATTAAGCTTCCAGGCGTCTTTTTCAACGCGTTTCAATCTATCTTTGTGTACTTTATTGTCTGCGGACGCAAAATTAAATGTTCTATTATCGTCCACATCAAATGTAATCTCGTTAGTAATTAAACAGTCCTGTTTTGTCTCTGGTACTCGAGACGGTTACTCGATGACGGAAATACACGTTCCAGTAGTTACTGGGTCAACCACTATTTCTGGATCTGTTGTACTTTACAGCACGCAACCAATATTTTATACGATCCGTTGCTTTTAATCCAATGTTTTGACTAACCAACCGAGTTTAAGTATAAACAGTTATTTATTTTGCTATGCTTCTATCAAACGTTCTATTTTGTTTATATCTTGAAAGATACGATTAGGAGAAGTTTGATAGTCGGCACATGTGTTGCTAACGTTATGTGATATACAACCTGCCGATGCGTTCGAGACATTTATTCTTTGCGCTATTACCAATTATGTCAAAGTTTCCCAAGTCAATATGGCGTCCTCAGTCCAGATCACTCGCGCTATAATTCATCGAAATTTATGAAGGTGAACTAACTCTACCACTGTCCCTCTCTAACAGACGGGCGCGTTCTACATTAATACATTTCTTTTCTCATTTCGCAGTTTGGAGCCGGGCCAACAGAGTTTCCAAGCGTTCGGCACCGCTGCCTGTAGTTTTCCGACCAGTTCCGTCGAGTCCGGTGCTCCATCCTCGTCCAGGGATCCCTATGTGGAAGAACCCGAGCGTGATCCTTTTAAGGACTTAAAATCGCCCCCCCTTAACTCCTGTTCCACAGCCAACTTTCCAGTTCTCAACGGCCCTGAGATAGCCAGTCCCAAAAACGATAGCTATGGAGAGGCGTTGTTATTAGATTTCGAGAAAGTTTCTGAGGATGTTGAAGGCCACCAAACGTTGGATGAAATAGAGCAAGAGGTGAACAAGGTCCGCGTAGCGTTGGATGAAGATAGCCGGGCTTTGGAAGAAGACGAGAGGAACCAGGGTGACGCCGACAACTGGAGTCTCAACGTTTCTTGTGATAGTGGAGTGTATAATCGCGCTTCATCTCGAGACTCAGGCCCTCATTCTGGTGAGTAGCTTATATCGTAAATTGTCATTATCGAGGAGAATAAATATACGCGGTGACTTATTTAGCACACACTAAAATGTAACTGTTTCTGTAATAAACATATGGAAGCAATCAAAGCAGCCAGCTTGCATTTGCCTCATGTTTGTTTATGTTTGGTATATTTAGAATTTGTATGCATCGCAATCATATTAGGACAGTTTTGAAAATAAACTCGGCTTAGCCTTGCTAATGTATAGGCCCTTTTATTTGGGTCAATGTTGTACGCTGTTCATTGTCAAAGTTTAGTTTTTCTGATGCCACAGATAATAACTTTGCATTTTATCATGAAAATGAGTGCTTTTAGAATTCGCTTCATAATGGTGAGGTGTTCATTGACACCAGCGGTTACCCGTACTGAGGTGTTACAACAAACAGTACACGCGAAAATCTAATCTTGTCTAATGATCATCGTATTAATTATATTATAATAAATTTCCAGGTGAGGAATTGGGGCTGATAGAGAGTCAAGAAATAAACGAAAACCAGGAAGTTAACAGTAGCCAAGATTGGTCATCGTCATCCATAGAGCAAGGCCTTATTAACATGAACCGTGAGAGAAAATCCACAGAGAATGAGGCTCTACGCGGTCTCGAAAGCAGAAGTGATGATGAAAGCGAGCCTTCTGGGTTTGCTCTGGGACTGGTCAAGAGTAACAGTGTTGTCGCTCGAGCAAGTATGTGGCAACAATTGCAACAGAAGGCCAAAGGTATTTATGCTTTTGTTAGCGATATAGTTCATTATATTTACCAAAATTACAAATCCAAAAGTTGTTACACCTTCACGGGTTCGCTGCTGATTTGAATTTAATTATGACATAATACTATGAAGTACTATTAAATAACAATTTATCAAGAATTCTTTAACAATTCCACTTCAATATACAATCTTCAATATTTCTAAAGAATTCATTATGCTCATTCCAGGAACGCCGAAACCACTGCTCCGCCACAGTCGGTCGAAGATCAATGACGGTACATCTGTTATAGAACGCTTCAGAACCCAGAGTATCGACTTGCAATCGCCTCCTTCCCCTCCAAAAGACACGCAGGAAAGCTTCTCTCTCACTCAGTCTAAAAGCACCGCCAACGTGCTAGACAGAGACGAAGATGGTAAGAGCTGTTCGCTTTAAATTTTGTATATATTGAGTCTTGATTTCTTTGTTAATGAAATCAAGAACACTTATCTTTCACAATTTATTGAGTATTTCAGTCAGCTCGACGGCATGTACATTGCATCTTACGACGGACTCGGCTTCTTGTCTGATTGTCGGCTTTTCTTTTTGCATGTCCTCAACTGTGTTATGGGTGCACATTGTTATGTAAATACGCACCGGTGGCAGCTAAGTTAGACGACGATGATCCAGCCAAAATGTCACTTATGGAGAAAATGAAGATGTTTAACTCGAAATTAACACACAAACCACCACTGGCTGGTCTTAAACCCAGAGAGGAAAGAGTTCCCAGAGCATCCAGGCTCCGAACGATGCCTGTTTTGGCCAGCCAAGTCCAAGAAGCTATGGAGCAGAATGAGAGACTGACAAAATCTCTCACTCACGAAGACGTCCCTCGTAATTCAGATTTTCAACTTAAGATGGAGTTGTTCCGTTCGGCGAGCGCTAAAAACACGTCGTTAGAGTATCTCAAGCAAAACGCGAAGTTTCGAAGTTTAGGTCTGGTTTTCATTTTGAGTTTGATGCTTGTCGTTGCGCTTTCTGGTTTCACTAATGACGTAATATGGGCTCTCAAGATTTGGATTTTTCGAGTAGATATTGTCGAGGCCGTGATGCAAGTTTTACTTACAATTACAGATATCTAAACGTGGACTTTCCTGAAAAAAAAAACGAACAAAAAGATGAAGAAATGAGTAGTCTCCACATGTCTCCACTATAATATTACGAATATATTATATAAATAATATATTAAATGGTTTTTCACTAACGGGTCTGGTTCGCACTGAGATTTAAATGTATTTTCAACTTTATTATTACTTGCACTGCGGACCTGTTCTAACTGTATCATCGCTATGAGTTTTCGTTCTAATTTGTTAATCAATCATCAATGTAAAGTACTAAGTACGTTGTTTGTATAATTTGGGACGAGAACTCGAAACTTGACTGGTAGGTGTGTTTGCATGCGCACGTTGACTAACACGGGAAAGTAATAAGCTAATTTACATTACAGACCAAGATTTCAGATTTTTTTCAGGTTTTGTTGATATATAATATAGATTATCAATTTAAACATTGCTTTAAATATGTCAATTAAGTGATTTGTGAGTGATTTTATCGAGTCCTCTATAAATATCTTGGTCTGTGGGTTACGCATGTAATGAAAAATCTATGATGTAATCGGTTTGCGATAACTGAGTAATGTTTATTTTGAGCGATCTTAATGCAGCAAATATCTTTATGAGCGATGTCTACTGCCTCGTTCCCGTACTAACACGATGACTAGAAACACTAACATTAATTTCGACATTATTAACTTAAACAATTTTGCTTTATTTGTAAATATTTCTAAAGAGAAATATTATTCGAAATTACTAAGTTTCTGGATCAATATCGTTTGAAAAAAGCTTATATAAATCTATATAAATTACAGACCTAGACGACGATTCGCCGTCTGAGCGTGCGCAACGTATGATAACACCAGAAGTGAGAGGAATTTTGAAGTCCGGCTCTACCGTTGTCCCCAAGCCAAAAGTTCTCGCTAAGGGAGAAAGCTCTGAGGTAAATAATGTATGATTGGAACTATATATTTCTTAAAAATATATTAGGGAGCATTCAAGTATTACGTCACGCAATTTTTGGAGATTATTTACCCCCTCCCCATGTAACGCGCCGTAAATTTTTTCTGTACCCATGTATAGTAAAACGTTTCGTGACCACCTAGTTATTCTGTATACCTAAAAGTTACCATTATGTGGTGTAAAGTACTGGAAAGTCGAAAATAATATTAACAATAACGCGTAATTCAATCCCCGCCCCGCATCGTAACGTTTTACAAAGGGGGACCCCCCCCCCCCAAATTCGTTATGTAATACTTGAACGCTCCCTTATTTGTCGTAAGTGTCGCAGTGTACATTGTATTATTACTAGTTTGAAAATTGAATGTAAAAACATGGCGAGTAAAGAAAAGATTTTATATTTTGTCCTTATCGGACTAGCCTTAAGCCTATTGATGAACTTATAAGACACATTATTATTTAAAGCCCAATTTACTATAATGGACCTATTCCCCTTCATAGCCCATTGATATTTCTGTTGCAGGGTCTAAAAGACGAAGGTATAGACAGCTCAGATGACGAATCATCCGCATCCTCGGTATCATCATCGGAAAAAAGCTGTTCATCATCAGATACCTCCGAGGAACTACCTGAACCGAAACGTCGCTTCCAGAGGAAAAACAAGCTCAGATCTTCAAGAACCGAATCCGATTTAACGAACTACCAAGACCCTAGAAAAGTTCAGTTACCAGGAGCCAATGAGTTACAGGAGCGTTTGACTCAGGCTAAGAATGCCAACGTGAAGGTTCCCTTACTCGGAAAATTGGGAAGGAAACCCTCAGAAACGAAAACTGATGAAACCTATAAGAGGTTTGTGAAGAAGCTGGATGAGCCGATACAGTTGGGAAAATTGAGGAGGCCAGTGGAAAAGACGGCGATGGAGGGAAAGCCGCCGGTGAGTGCTTACTTCATATGAACATTACGCACGTTTGTGTGTAAAATACCGTTGTAGGAAATTGTAGGTTTTCTAAAGAAATATATTTATTTAACGACAATTGCAATTACTTTTACTAGCATTAATACTAAGGTGATGGTCCCTCCGTACTGGTTGAAAAACTGTATACGGTAAGGCCAAGCGAGTCTTAACGTTTTATGAATGTGGGTTGATACCTCCTGCCTCGTTTCAACTCCGTACGAGCCGTATCAATTCAAAATTGCATAATATCACCTCAATGTATAAAATAATTCTTATCGTCACTGTAGAATGATAACCTCGTATGTTAAAAACCCATTTGTTTTTTTATTCTTATGCAACTGGTTGAATCATGAAGTAAGGACTTATTTATTAATAACATAAACCATCCTAAACTATGGACAAAAACATATAATAATATTTTAACGAACATTGACGAAATTAAATATTTTTATCCTGTAATGTTTGGTTCTATGGACATACGAGGTTATCTTTCTACAGCGACGATATATATGGTGTTCAGAATAAACATATTTCTTTAATTTATTTTTAAAGCAAGCTGTCTTACCGAACTATATTTAATTTAGTTCTTTTCTGTGTTAGATCAAAGGTGTTTAATATTTGTATGTATTTCAGGTCTTACAAATCACAGCCCTAAATCAAACGGCGAAGAATAAGTTCTTTGGCATCGATGACAAAGAGAGAAACGTTGATGAATTAGCCGCTAGAGTTAGGAAATATATCGCGCCGGTAATTATTTTATTATTAATCAATGTTTACTGCCAGCTACAAAAACAAAATTATAAACAGTTTTTCAATGAGTTTGATGAAGGATTGAATAATCGATATTGACTTCGTCATTAGCTTAGTGGGCGTCTTGTGGGTAATGGAGCGTTCAAGTATTACGTCACGCAATTTTTGGAGATTATTGACCCCCCCCCCCATGTAACGCGCCGTAACGTTTTTCTGTACCCAAGTATAGTAAAACGATTCGTGACCACCCAGTGGCTCTTTATACCTAAAAGATACCATTATGTGGTGTAAAGTACTGGAAAGTCGAGAATAATAATAAAAATAACGCGTCATTCAATCCCCGCCCCGCATCGTAACGTTTTACAAAAGGAAAAAAAAATCGTTACGTAAGACTTGAACGCTCCCTAAAGTCCGAGCACGAAAGAAACGAATTATTATCATACAAAAATTTTCATTGATTTCTACTAACACTACAAATAACACTAGCTCAATGATTGATAACGAGCAGCGGGTTCAGGGCACCGATCTCACTTATAATCGCAATCTACTAGGTCCAACCTCTCAACTCCGCAATGCTAAATGCTAAATCAGTACTACTGAATACTCTGTCCAAAGACAAGATGACGCCTCGACTCCTCGTTTGCTCTGCTCTGCCCAATAGTAAAACGTTTCGTGACCAGCCGGTGTCTCTTTATATTTCCTGATAATACGAGCATTCCTATATAACTATAAGGAATGAGAACTGATCATATCAACGATAGTTCTATTCACTTCATCTTAAGTGAGTTGACTTCCATCTCCGTAACATTTTACATACATATTACTTATCAGGAAACAATTTCTCATAAAATAACTATATTTTTTTTATCAAACGTAAGTATTTTTTTTATTACACTTTTACATGTATTTGATCCGTTACTAAAAATATGGTCTTCTTCGCGACATTTTATATAATACTAGCGGACCCGACAGACGTTGTCCTTTACACACATCTTGAATACAAATTTTGAACTTAAAAAAAATTAACAAAAACTATCTATTGTAAATAATCTGAACCATTTTCGAATCCACTTTAACACTTATTAAAATCGGTGCAGCCTTTTCGGAGAAGTTCAATAAATTATAAACAAAATATTAATGTGTCTAAAAAACAAAAAACATCAAATGTTTGTTATTATATATTTTACATGTTCTCCATTTAAACCTTCCTCCGTTTGAACTTCCACAAATAATTCAAGAATAAAATTAACCAAATCGGTCCAGTCCTTTTCGAGTTTTTGCAAGACAAACGAACAGCAATTAATTTATATATATTTGATTAATGTATTCTAATTTCTATTGTACCATTTTATTTTTATTGTGATACATGTAATTAAAATACTTTGATAATAATATAATAAATCTGATCAGGTGAGCAAATCGGTGTCCGTACACGCCATGGAAGGCGCGTCCGGAAGTGATGGTGAGAGCAGTGGTGGACGGGAAGTGAGGCAGATTAACACCCGATCACGGCACAGGTAGGTTTTAACTTATAATAATAGAATAAATAATTACTTTTTTACCTTTGACCCTTGATCTTGTTTTGAGGATCACAAGGGAGGAGGTGAATGTCGCATTCACCTCACAAAACCTTATTGCATATATTTAACACTATTACAGATGCTATTTGTTAAGTAACTTGGAGACAAAAAGTAGTAGTATCGAAAGGGGCTTTCACCGTATTTTCCTGAATAAAATACTATAGTGAAAAGGTAGATCATGTTTCGTAATAGACTCTTTCTTGCCTCGTTCCACAACTCAGCTTTTTAAGGCCGTTTTCGCCGCGCACCACCACTATGTGGAACCACCTTACCACTGAAGTATTTACAAAACAATTCGACTTAGGGTAATTCAAGAAAAGAGCGTACCATTTCTTAAAAGGCCGGCAACGCACTCACGAGCCTTCTGGCATTGAGTGTCCATGGGCCTATATCACTTAACATCAAGTGAGCCTCTTGCCCGTTTGCCCCCTGTTCTATAAAAGAATATGCTTAATGTGTAAAGGATTTTGAATTTGTTCCATAAGTCAGAATGGAAACTATTAAGTTTAAATTCGTAATTGCGGTAAATGATAGGCCGCGAATCATCGGTGTGTTCGTGTCTATGGTACTTACGTCGAATAGAATCTTAATTTCCTTAAATATTTTCAAAAATTCCCGGCCGCGTTTGTCTGCCAGTATGAACGCTATGAAGTCGAAAACTACTTAACGTTGATTCACCAATATATAATGTCATATCTAAGCATGGTTTAGATTTATTATTAATTAGGTTTTCACTAAATTGACTGAAATATAACGATTTTTGTTCAAAAATCTTGCAAAATACACGTATACCACGCGGGCAAATCTACGGACGAATGCTTTGATGTAACGACGTCGTTGAAACTTTATAATTACAATTTGGTAAAATTATTTCACTATTGGCTAATTGAGACGATGTTATAAGTTAAGAAATTGTTACAATATTGCAATTAATCATAAATAGAACAAGGTTGTCTTTCATTGTCCAAGTAATACGCGATGATATAATGAGAAATATTTACTTTGCAATACAATGATACGTTTTGTAAGATATTTTATGAGATTATTGTGTTGCATCAAGTCAAGTCAAATACTTTATTTCAATTAAGCCTATTAAATAGGCACATTTGAAAGCCAAAATTACAAGATAAAATAAAAAAAAATCTAGTTGCCCCTTGAAACTACCATATGGCGAAGAATGGGCAAGAAACTCCATGCTTTTCTTTTAAAATAGTTTGTACAATGTTTTGTATACATTGATTTGATAATTATTTGTGAAGACCATGTACCATGACATGTACTAAACTAAAATATGATCATCAGTACGGGTATATATAAATATAAAGGTATCCATATTAACGGATAACGTACTATCTTTTAGGCCAAACAGGTATCACAGAATATATATTTCATTTTACTGCGTAATCCTGCACTAACTCAGACTCAAAATAACTTTATTCATATAGGCAACCAAGTACACTTTTTAACGGTAACAGACAAGATGTTAAATTGATTCTAAATTTACATTTACTACCAGTTCGCAAGTCAAGGGCGTAGAGACTCCCCGGGGAATGGGGGCCTCTAATGGGGAAGGCAGTGTAGACCTGAAGAGTATTTCAGCAGGTTTTGCAGAGGTATCTTTGTAATGAGGACGCCTGGATGTGTAGTTGTACATATTTTCTGTTTTGTGGTTTTTGAGTTACAGGGAATGCCCAAAACATTATACCAGACGTTTTTCATTTGTTTCATCGTTTGTCACATTTGCCTTAAGCCATAACATGGAATTTTGCGTAAGGTCTTTAAAATTTCTGTACACGAAAGTAAACAAATCGATTTGATACGGGTGACCACACTTTCTACAAAAGATAATTATTCGGACAATTAAGAAAATTTGAATTATTAACGAAATCTGTTTGTTGCGACATAATTGGCTTGAAACTACTTTTCTCATTTTACTAACTACTTACTTCCAGAAATTGTTTTTGATGATTTCTCTTTAGACAGAAGCAATTTATTTTACTGTATTTATACAAATATCAGTGTTTTCAAAGTGAATTACTATGGTTTGTTTTTGGTTTTCATAGCACTTGACGGCGTTTATGGCTCAGTGAATAACACTAGTAACAGTTATTGGGGGTTCGACGCGAGAAACCAGTGTTTCGTTTTAGCACGCACAGAACAGATAACACTTTGGCTTTAAATAAATATAATTCAGGTGGATACGGAAATTAAATTACATGTGGTGAAAAATATTCGGGCTTGGTAGGTCTAGTTTAATAACTAGATATTTTTGTCAACCGATGTGGAAATGTGTCGTTCAACTCAAGATACGTACTTATTTTTATTTTTTTTAAGCTACTAAGCGTGCCACTGGGGTACTGGGGAAATTGTGATTTATAAAGTACTTTGTAATGATCGAACGATTTCCCCTAAAACAATGGTTTCGTAATCGCGTAGTGCTAGATTTATCGCCGTGGCGGCGTGACGGCTAATTCGAAAGTTGACAAATTGAAAATGATGCTGTGGGCATAATTTACATACAATCGGAGTTATGTCAATGTTTGATCAAGAATCGAAATGTGTAGAGTTTTAATGTTTCCGTGTAATAATAATAACACTTTATTAACATCAGAATAACACTAAACAGTATAAAAATAGGATGAAAAGGGACGTAAATGTCCTACTGCTGAAAGCAGTTTCTTTAAATACAATACCGAACTTAAAACTACACTAACCAACTTAATATAAAAATACATTTAGCTAATAATCTCAAAGGTTTACTGGTATAATGTTGTCAACGTGTATTAAAACTGTTGAATTTATTTGGTACCTAGAGAAAGGCACATTAGCGGTAGTTGTCGGAATTTTATATTCAATAATTTTGCCCGAACTCTGCACGTCACAAGAAACATTGTAAAAAAATAAAAAAATACTTACAGTCGTTCTTTGATTACCATAAGTAATAATGTTCTTTTGTCAATGTAGGAAACCGGTCTTTAGTTCATATAGACTCGATAACATTGTAATTTATGGGCAGTAGGAAACTTTCTCCGAACGTGGGATTACCGCTATGACGCATAGTAATGTTTACATGCGTTCTCGTGGTCTTGGACTTGGTACTATTGTAGTTTCCTTCTAAAATGTTGGCTGAAAAATAGATCTATTAAATTTTTTTGAGAAGCCATCAGCTTACAGATGTAAAATTTATTCCTTAATATTTTTCTTCAATTAGTTAGTAGTGAAATTTAGCCTGTTTTGTGCCTATAGGTCTTCTAACGAATGTTACTGCTTTATTTCACCATCGCTTTTAATGACTATTTTTGCCAAAAATAAAATAAATATGTTTGTAATGAGCGGTCTTCGTGATACGTAACCAAATAGTAATTGTAATTGACTATCATCCGAATGCTATCCAACAAAATGAAGAAAAAAAATACTCGAATTGAATACCTTCATTAAAAAAGTATGTTAAAAATCTAGGGAATATGAAAATTAAGTGAAATAATTAGTTGACTTTAAAACTTGATTCAGAATTACCTATATTAGGTCTGGTCATTCAAGTTTTTTTTAACATGCAATTTCTCACTTAACAGCTAACAGTCTGAAGCGAGGTTTTTGACCTACGGTACGAATTTATAAAAGTAGGTTAGTTGCGATAACGATTAATTAGAGCTTGGGTCTAATTAAAAATTTACGTGTTCTTAAACTCATTAAAACGTTCCTAGTATTACCTAGGTAATAACTAATAATGAACACACGTTTTTTAAACTATGCGACGAATACTTCCTGTATGTAAAGACCGCATATATCGCTATGTATATGACATATTATACGGAAATTAATTTTATTGACATAAATACTAGATGTATAATTTTCTTCAACTACTATATTTAAAAATATATCAGTATCGCTACAACCTTTTTTTGTGTCTGGGTTGGGCTGTTTCATGATCATTTGTCAATCTAATAGGCAAGTGATCAGCCTTCTGTGCCTGCCCCCCGCCGTCGACTTTTGGGTGTAAGCCAACCCGGTTTCCTCACGATGTTTTCCTTCACCGTTCGAGCGAATGTTAAATGCGTACATAGAAAGAAGGCAAACCTTTTTTTAAAAAATATTTTAAAAAAAATTTTGAAAAAAAAAAAAAAAAAAAAAAAAAAAAAAAAAAAAAAAAAAAAAAAAAAGGAAAAAAAAAAAAAAAAAAAAAAAAAAAAAAAAAATCCTCCCACGATGTTTTCCCCCCCCCTTCGAAAAAATTAAAAAATAAAAAAGAAAGACATATAATTGGTGCACAGCCGGGGATCGAACCAACGACCTGAGGGATGACAGTGGTACGCTGAAGGTACTAGGAAGGGGAGGGGGGGGGGAGGGGGGGGGGGGGGCCAACTGCTCAACTGCAGCTGTTATTCAGCAATAGTCTCTCGTTTTATGAGGTTTATTTAAATACATATTTTGTCTCCTCTCACCTCAAAGTAAAAGCAACAAGCACTATAAAATCGACTTTTGTTTAGTTTTTTGTAATTTCAATTTTTTTGATTAGTATTTGTTTATTTTTTGTGTTATGTTTGTTTTATTTAATAATTGTTTTGATTGATATTTGTATGATCTCTAAATGTATGCGTTTGCTTCAAGTGCTTGTCACATTAAAAATTGTATTTTGTGTTTATTTTACCAATGTATCAGTGTGCCGAGCGTTGGCAAGCTTTTTATGAATAAAAAAAAGCAATACACAATACAAAACAGTTGTATTTTTTATTGTAACAGTGGGCAAACGGGCAGTAGGCTCACCTGATGTTAAGTGATACCGCCGCCCGTAGAAAATTACTTGAGTTGCCGACCTTTTAAGAATTGGTAGAATCTAGGATATATAAGGTTTTTCGTTGTCAATAATGTTATCTAATGCGTATTCCAGTAACCCGATAAATAAATTTGCCAATTAGTCATGTCATAGAATCACAGTTCGGTAAAAAGTGTGCTCACGCGATTACACCAATTACAAGTTACACAATATACAACAATGCGCATGGCCTACAAACCCAGCTTTGCGATTATTGAACATATCTCGCAACTGTTTTGTTAGTATTCATTTGTTTATGGTATCAAATATTGTATTATTCAATGAAATTGGTATTTGTTTTTATTTTTTTTATTATTGTTACGTTTTCCAAATAATTCTCCGACTATGTAGTCGTCGGAGGTGTTACAAAGCTTACATAAATGGTATTGGTTACCCGAATGTTTACTTTATATTACTATATTACTATCTTACTATATTTCTATATTACTATAGTAATATAGTAATATAGAAATTGGTATTTGGATAATGAAGTAACTTTACCTTGGATTTATTTTGTTAGTATTTTATTGTAATTATATTGTTTTTTCATAACCTACCTTAAATTTTCCAATGCAAGTTTTATTTATTTGTACTTACTTTAATGAAAATAATAATATAATATTAAATTAAATTTGTTTCTGTTAATGTGGGATTCATATAAGTCACGTACGAGATCTCTCAACACGAATAAGAACTTTTTCGTTGGACCAAAATTCCAATTTAAAATACCTAAGTAATCACCGCATTCGTTTTTTACGTCAATAAATAGTTTCAAAATTCGTTATTCGACATTTTAATGTTCTACTTTTATCTAGACTTCGTAAAACGCGCAACATAGGAAATCACAATTTCTTAACTGCTTTGAAACTGACCAAGATTAAAGTTAATCCGGATTCTTGATGAGATGTACCATATACAAAATATGTAGTATGGGAAGTTGTATATGTCGTTATTAAATACAATTCGACAGATCCTTCCATAACCCTTACATTTATAAAGGGTATAAATAGAGGATAGGGTATAATATAATATAAGGGATGAAAATAAATATAAAATAAATACCATTTCTCATATACGATACAAAGTGTTAAACTATAATTAGTAAAGTACTCAATGTATGCAATGGAAAGAGCAATTGCCCGCATTACAACGGTATCAATACTTTTCACGCCTGACATCGTCCCGTTATAATGATTTGACAATTGATTCGAAGCGGTACGGTTTACTCGGTCTGCGATAAGGTTCAGTAGCTATGAGTTTCACGTAAAATACTTCACCATCTTATTTCCTATAACATCTGCTGATTTCTTGAACTGTTCACACAACACAGCCGTATTATTTCTTAGTTAAATGTATTTAAATGTTTTTGAAGCTATACTTCTTTTGGGCGTTAGGGAACAATGATGAGAGTAAATATTTACGATGCCCGCGCTCACCGTCACAAAAAACCGACACCCTGAAGTTAGCTATTGTCAACATTTTTTAATACAACTATTGATGCTGTATTTTTACGATATTTAAACAATGTTTCTATAAGAATAATTGTAAGTGAATTAAATAGTAAATTTCAGTTTTCAATTTTTTTGTGATATTTAAATAAACTTTATTTAACTAGATAATGCTTTATAATAAAACTTTCAATGTATTAAATAAATTTTTTCTATTGCTAGTGTCGTTTTTTCTACAAACGTAGAATAAATTTTTTGAAAAGATTTTTATCTTGTTACGCCAAAGAAGTAACTTCTAACGCGTGTACATAGGTACACACACATTTTTTTTGTTGTTTTTTTCCTTTCGTTAATTCTCCTCTTG